AGGTGTTTTCTTTTAGTAATTATAAATTTTAGTTGATTTGGGTCTTGTTTCATATCACACAGTGACATTTGAATAATTGCAAAGTATTTTTTATTAGAAGCTTTAGTTTACAGTAATAACCATGTCTAATGTTTGCTTTTCTGTCTCATAATTTTATTTTGCTTTGAGAGCACATTTTCCTGAATGATTAAAATGCGATTAATTTAGATTAATTAATTACAATGCCTATAATTAGATTAAAAATGTTAATCAAGTCCCAGCCCTACTTTTAAATAATTTATTTTAATTAGTTGACTAGCCTCTTGAATTTCCTGTACAGCGCTTTGGTGTTACTTTGTACCTGTGAAGCGCTGTATAAATAAAGATTGAGTTGAGTTTATACAGATATAAAAAAATAAAAACTCCATAATCAAAACATGCTCAGAGGATGTCGGTAATAATTGAGAGTATTTACACTTCTCTGTTTGCAGAGCAGATTTCAGAATGAAAATAAAACGCCGTTAGCTTCGTCTGCAGCGCAAACGTTTTTAAGCTGAGCAACAAAGACCATTAATGGTTCAGGCATTGCCTGCAGAGCTGCTGTTCTGCTAGAATGTGATGTTTAGTTAAATGTGTGAAAGTGAAGTTTGGTCACTGAATCTGGTTGTTTGATCATTTATTTGGGGGTTTTGAGGACATTTATTCATTATTTGGAGGAGCGTGACTCATTTATGCCCATTTAAATGTGCATTATGTAGAAATGTGGTTACTGCAACCACTTCAAACAACGCTGGCGTTTTTTTGTCGGCTGCCGTCTAATTGCAACACACGCTCACTGATGGTAAACTGTCGTTACGTCCCTCCTTCCTTTGTTTTGAAAGGAGAAAAACTGACAATCCGGAAGCCAGGTGGGTATGAAACATGTTTCAGTAGAACCTTCCTTCCAGCATGGCTGAAACATCCGACTCTTTTAGGATTTAATGACTGTAAAATTCTCACTATATTCTTACATACTGCACCTTTAATTTTTTAAAAAACACTTTTTGTGGTTTCAGTGGGAAAAAAAAGATCAGTGTGTTGTGTTGTTGGAAGTAATTAGCTGATGAAAGGATGTTCCCATCATGCTTTGCTTCTACTGCACAACCTGTGGGGTCGCTTTGGATGCTTTGGGGCGACGGTGGCACAGGAGTTAAATGCTCGCCCCGTGATTGGAAGGTTGCAGGTTCGAGTCCCGCTCAGTCTGTCGCTGTCGTTGTGTCCTTGGGCAAGACACTTAACTCACCTTGCCTGCTGGTGGTGGTCGGAGGGACCGGTGGCGCCAGTGCTCGGCAGCCTCGCCTCTGTCAGTGCGCCCCAGGGCAGCTGTGGCTACATCGTAGCTCATCCCCACCAGTGTGTGAATGTGTGTGTGAATGGGTGAATGACTTCTTAGGTGTGTTCTTGCTGTGTCTTTGTAAATCCATGCTTTCGTTCTTTTTTAAACACAGAAACAGTTTTGTTTACCTGTTTGTAGCTACGGTTTGGGACTGCATCGTCGGAGAGGGGAGAGCGGGCAGTAGAGGGCGACAACGTCCTCTGCTGCCCGCAGATAAACGGAGAAGGAAGTGACGTGCCACCATCAGCGTCAGCCTGAAGAAGCCGGCAGCTGTCGGCGAAACCGTAGCTACAAACAGGTAAACAAAACTGTTTCTGTGTTTAAAAAAGAACGAAAGCATGGGTGAATGACTGATTGTGTTGTAAAGCGCCTTGGGGGTTCCAGGACTCTAGAAGGCGCTATATCAAATACAGGCCATTCACCATTTACCATTGGATATTCCGATCAAGGTTTAACAAAATATAATAAAATAATTTGACTTGAAAATGCCGGTTTTTTCTACTTTTTTACGTCCCAGGAGCGACTCGTGGTAACAAAGTTTAGAATATATCAGTAAAACTCTGAACCATTCATGCATCTGAGGAGGAATGAGGACCTAAGTGACCGAAAGGCTGAAGTGAATCTTAAAAAAACATGAAATCATCAAATCAGTTTCTTTTGATTCAGCCAAGTCTGACTCGTTTTTCCTTTTTAACCCTCTGGAGGCAGGCAGGTTAAAACCTACCTACCTGGTCACTCCACATACGTATCTCATGCACCCCTGAAGGACTTAGTTGTTCGTCCTTTAATCAAAACTTCATTGAGCCTGAGAGGGTTAAATCGCTTTACCATCTGACTCACAGACGTGGAGTTCAGTCACAACTGTAATCAGACTGTGGAAATGAGCTCGGCAGGTATGTGTTCCATTTTGCTCCAAAGTGAAGTTTCTGGGACCAGAACCGACGATCCCAGTGAAGACCTCGTTGGCTACAATCCAAACTCCGTTATCGAGGCTTTAAATGTGACGAAGAACCTAAACCTGTTGAGGTGTGTTGTTCAGGCACAGCAGAGTTTACCATCCCTGTCCCTCAGATCGACACGGCGGTCACATCGCCGCTGCTGCAGGATCCCTTTTCCAGGCCCTCCATGACCAGGTCCCGCCCAGTAATGTGGTTGAGTCGCCTGGAGACGTTTTTATCCAGGTTGTCCAGAGAAATGGGCTCCAGGGAGCTGGGAATGTTGTTGGCCGGGAGCACGGAGTTTCCCTGCAGCCTGTGAGAGTAGCTTTTCCTCCGCTGGCCGTCGGCGGCACACAGGCTGAACTTAAACACGGCCTGAAAACCTCTCCGGAAGTTCTCGTTGAAGAAGCCGTAGATGATGGGGTTGATGCTGCTGTTGAAGAAGGCGAGCCAGTGGGCAAAGGGGTAGATGTAGATGTTGATGATCCTCTGCTGCTGCTCGGTCAGGTGGGCGTAGTCGCTCAGCATCATGAGGGTCCACAGAGGCAGCCAGGACAGGACGAAGAGCAGGGCAACGACCAGCAGCATTTTTATCACCCTCTGCTTCTTCTTCGACACGCTGTGGCGGTTGTCAGGACCCGGCTTTCCCCCCGTCGGAACGGTGGTTTTAAAAAGCGTGATGCCAATCCGGGCGTACATGATGACGATGAGGGAGAGGGGGGCCAGGTAGATGTTTGCAAACAGGACGGTGGTGTAGATCTTCCTCATGTCCTGGTTTGGCCAGTTCTCCCGGCACCAGTAAAAAGAACTGGTTTTGTTGTCGTATCCCAGTAAAACCCGGATGCTGTGCTCCTTGGTCACCTGCAGCATCACTCCAGAGGGACACATGATGGAGACAGCCAGAACCCAGATGACCACTATGATCAGCGTTGCCGTGGAGATGGTCAGCTTCTGCTTGAAGGGGTAGACGATGCATCTGAACCTGCAGAGTTAAAGGAGGCGGAGTTAAAATGCTAAATGAAACTGTTGTGGTGCATTTATGACATCATGCCTCGATCACGGCAGCGCCACTCGATGTGTCGAAGGGCATCATCTCATCTTCAACTCGTCCCAAATTCTGCTGCGAGGTTTTAGATGGTGGGCGGAGCTTTGAGCATGCCACCCTGACCTCGGCCACCTGACTTTTAGGATATGTGCTTAAGAATCTTTGACTGGTTTAGCTCCAGCTAACCTATCTGATATGCTACGGTTAGATGTTCCTCACGTGTTCCTCGTTCTGACACTTTGTTACTGCCCCTGTAGAGGAAAACTTCTGGATTCAGCTTCAGATGCTCATTAAGACTCTCTTCCGTAAAGGATTTTAAATCGAGGCTGAAGACCGATTTTTATTCTCTGGCTTTAGTTTCAGCAGGACGGCTGACGCCGTTGCTCTTTTCATCGCCCTCATAGAGTTTTGTATACTTTTATGTCTGGATTTGTCAAAAGTATAAACAAAGGTCGAGTGGACCGCTTTAGATTTTAAGCATCAAAAAGGAACAAAATAATAACACAGATGAATCAAAGTCGACTCCTAGAAGAAGACCTGGGGTGTTTTTGTTTACAGAACCCTGCAAACCCGACAGGTTTGTGTTTCTTAGTCATTTAAAGCATTTCTGTTTTGACCTCATGTTGCAAAGTTTAACTGCAGGTTTGTTAATTTCTACATTTTCTTTGTGTTTTTACTCTTTTCTCGATCTTGTCTCTGTGCTGATGCTTCTCCAAATAAAAATCCAGAGAAGCGAAGTTCATTTGTTTTCATCGTCGTCGTCTTCCTCCGCTTATCCGGGTCCGGGTCGCGGGGGCAGCATCCCAACTAGGGAGCTCCAGACCATCCTCTCCCCGGCCACCTCCACCAGCTCCTCCGGCAGGACCCCAAGGCGTTCCCGGACCAGATTGGAGATGTAACCTCTCCAACGTGTCCTGGGTCGACCCGGGGTCCTCCTGCCGGCAGGACATGCCCGAAACACCTCCCCAGGGAGGCGTCCAGGAGGCATCCTGACCAGATGCCCAAACCACCTAGCCTAGTGAACTAGACCAAATTCTTGCTTTGCAAAGTTTGGTCTAGGCATGCTCCATTGGAACCTCAGCAGCTCCTACCAGGACTCTGGCTAGCCAATCACAGCTCTCTAGAGGGGTTTCAAACACATAAAGAGCTGTGATTGGTCCATAATGGTGGGCCAATCATAGTGCTCTATCTGCTTAGTGAACACATCACAGAGCTTTATCCGCTTTGTGGGCCAATCAGGGCACTCTATATGCCTGGTGGGTGGGATGATGCAACAGAGTGAAACAAGAGGATGTCACATTCATTGTCCAGTGGCATGCGGAGATCATTTGAAAGACAACGGTAGAACCCGCCCCACAACCGAGAGCCGTCAATGGAGTGTGGCCAGACTAAATAATACATTTATTTAGTCTGGCTTGCCAGGCTACAAACCACCTCAACTGACTCCTTTTGATCCGGAGGAGCAGCGGTTCTACTCCGAGTCCCTCCCGAATGTCCGAGCTCCTCACCCTATCTCTAAGGCTGAGCCCGGCCACCCTACGGAGGAAACTCATTTCGGCCGCTTGTATCCGCGATCTTGTTCTTTCGGTCATTACCCAAAGCTCATGACCATAGGTGAGGATTGGGATGTAGATCGACCGGTAAATCGAGAGCCTGGCTTTCTGGCTCAGCTCCCTCTTCACCACGACAGATCGGCTCAGCGTCCGCATCACTGCAGACGCCGAACCAATCCGCCTGTCGATCTCCCGATCCCTCCTACCCTCACTCGTGAACAAGACCCCGAGATACTTAAACTCCTCCACTTGAGGTAGGACCTCTCCCCCGACCCGGAGTTGGCAAGCCACCCTTTTCCGGTCGAGAACCATGGTCTCAGATTTGGAGGTACTGATCCTCATCCCAGCCGCTTCACACTCGGCCGTGAACCTACCCAGCAAGAGCTGAAGGTCAGAGCTGGATGAAGCTAGGAGGACCTCATCATCCGCAAAAAGCAGAGAGGAGATTCTCCTGCAACCAAACTCGACACACTCCACACCACGGCTGATTTATCTCCTCTCCGTAAATCACAGGAAATAACAGGTGAAGTAAAACTCTGCAGCAGACGACTAAAGCCGTTTCTAACTGCTCCAGACCGACGAACACCATCATCTTCACCACTCTAGCTCTGAACGTCTCTAGTCAGGTTGCTGAGGGGACTTTGGATTGCGGGAGTGGAATTGTTCATACTCCACGTGTCCTTTGCGGAGACGTCCAGTGGGGACTTCTAAATAATGAGTGACATTTCTGGACGCCACGTCTCTAACAGGAGAGCTCCTGCCAGCCTCTCGTCTCCATTAAAACCCCTGATATTACTGGATGTTTGTTCTTTTTCTGATTCCTGCCGCTCTTCTCTGACTGTTTGATTCTGCAGGTTTATTATTTCTCTGGAGCTCCACAGTCACTCGTCCGTTTCTCAGCAACGCATCAGTAAAAAAAAAAAAACCTAAATTACAGCCCCGGTTTTAGTTCTTTGTGTGAATAAGCAGAGGAGTTTCTCCGTTTGTGCACGCTGTTGCTTTTCTCACCGATCAGAAGTTACAGAGCAGCGCTGCTGTTGTTCAGGAGGACCTAAATGAATCCAGAGCTAAAACATCCTGTTGCGTTTGGCTGAAAGCAGGTCAGAATCACTCAGGAGATGGAAACAGTTCTTGGATCCAAGAGGTTTGAATCGTTAGCTCTTTCATCACAAGAATTTGGACTACGTCTAGAAAAAACCAACCGTAAATGAGTAAATGAGTGTATTGTTTCTCTGATTTAGTGTTTTTGCTTTTAGCTTCATTTTAACATCATTAAAGCTGGGGAACAGAACTCAAACATTTTTTTAAAGTGACTTAAAAAGATGCTTAAATGTGACTGTGTGACCCTGTTCTCTATAAAGTAGCTGATATTTCATCGTTTGTTTCCATAACCCCGAACCAATCATCTGTGCAAGCCTAAAGCGACCGACGGGAATGCATATCCATGAGAGGGACCAGTGGCGCCAGCGTTCGGCAGCCTCGCCTCTGTCATCGCAGCTCATCCCCACCCGCGTGTGAATGTGTGAATGACTGGTTGTGTTGTAAAGCGCTTTTGGGGGTTTTAGAACCCTAAGAAGGCGCTATACAAATACAGGTCATTCAGCATGGAGCAGGGGCGGAGCTATAGCAGTTAAAATTTTTGAATCTCCTCCCCTTGTTGAAGTTAGCCTATGAACCACAGCTTCAATAGGAAACTTTAATGTAAAATAAAGATGATTTTATTTCTAAAACCATATAGGGGAAGGCAGAATAACTTTAAACACAAAGGCTGTTCTTGTTTCTGGATAGGAACATTTTCTGTTTGTTTAAAACAGCAACACTCGTTTTTTAATGTTCTTATGTATCTTGTGCCACTAAAATACCAAATACCAATAAAAATAGATTAGTATTCTGTAGCTATGAACTAATACTGGGTTTAGTTTCAGTGTTTTCCTTTAAATACGGCCCTAACAGAAGCTCCAATAAAAATGAGCAAACATCTGCACACATCTGCGCACATCTGCGCACATCTGCGCACATCTGCACACATCTGCGCACATCTGCGCACATCTGCAGACTTCTGCACACATCTGCAGACTTCTGCGCACATCTGCACACATCTGCGCACATCTGCAGACTTCTGCGCACATCTGCACACATCTGCGCACATCTGCACACATATGCGCACTTCTGCGCACATCTGCACACATCTAAACTACAAATAAAAACTAATTCACGGCAAATCTGTTGAGTTTGTTTAACTCTTTAACTACCACCCGGAGCATTTTTAGCCTCTTAACCTACGAAACATGAACAAACATGTTGCTTCCACATTCATACTGGAAACTTAGAATATTATGTAATGTTATGTATGTAAACGTTACCTGTCGACAGCAATGGCCACCAGAGTGAAGACGGACGCCGAAACCGAAATCCCTTGAACCATGCCGCTCATTTTGCAGACCAGGCTTCCAAACGGCCATCCTGTTGACACACAGAAGGATTCACTTTATTCACTGCGGCGAAAACGAGTTCAGACGGATAACCGGAGTTCTCCTGGCTCCAGGGTCTGAGCCGGGGACCAAACGGGCTGGTGGATCACATCTGGAGCCATCCATTCTGTGACTACATCATTTCCTTCTGATGTTTCATTTTATTCCTGACATGATTTAGTCTGGATGAAAGAAGATCTGATGGGAAAAGTGTTTTCTCTGAATCACATGAAAGGCTGCCAGGAGAGGGAGTCCACTTAACCCTTCAATACCTGAAATACGAGGTCATCATCGTTCCGTTACTACGCCTCCGTCCGTTTTATTAGGTACCAAGCTGACAAAGGAATGAACCAGCCCCGTGCTACACACCGAACGTCCAACAGGGGGCAGCACTGGATATGACGGGTAAAGGAACTAATCCTGATGAGCTTTGGTGTCAGAAGGGGTCTGATGGGAGTTTGAGATGCTGGTTTAGGAAGAAACTCTTTCCAGGAAAAGGGAATTTTTGATCATTTGTTCATGTGTTGAAACTGGATTTGCTGCCTAAACACAGGTTTTGAAAACAAAGTTTTAAAGTTTTTTAAAAACATCACACAAAATCTGCTGACAAGCAAATATTTAATATTAAAAAATTAAATTCATCAACAATAAAAATATTAATACTAATTACTCTTTTAAAGAAATCTGCATAAAACTCAGCAAACTGAACACAAATCATCTAATGTACATCGTTACTTCATGCATTAAGCAGTGTGTGTGTGTGTGTGTGTGTGGGGGGGGGGGGGGGATTATTACAGATTCAATTAGCAACTTTTTCCTGTTTTTAAATCCTTTTCTTGAGCCAGCATGTGCTAAAATGACCCTTTATTGGGTTATTGAAAGGCCACCCTGGACAGAGAGCCGGTCCATGGGAATCGAACCCAGGACCTTCTTTCTACAAGGCAACAGCTCTAACCACTGCACCACTGCGCAGCCTTGTGACTTAAACTCATTAAGTAAATTGCTTTTATCACATTAAAAACATTAGAAAATACCATAAAGGTCCGGGACTGAATCCTATTTGTAAGTTCAAGGCAGCTTAAAACACAGACTCAAACTCATTTACTGTCTTATTGGTGCAGAAACAGGTTAAATATGATCGTTATTAACAGTGTGAAATGGATCAATATTAATAAAAATATAAATAAAATAAATAACGAGGAATTCTCTGAGTTGGGTTTGATTTAACCTCCCCTCCAGAGACCGCCCAGTCAGCAGGGCGGCGTTCAGCGTTCATCTTGGCAGGACTGAAACCATCACTGCCTTTATAATTGGAATGTTTGCACACGTCCACACGAGTCGAGGCGGCTTCAAACAATTCACGCCCACAAACACTGAAATGCAAAGGAAGAGCTGAAGGGATTTGAGTTAATCAGCGGTTGTTTATCGGAGCGTTTGGAGCCCGAGTGAGGGCATCTGATCGGGGAAAAGTCGGAATAATCAGTCTCAGCTGCTTCCCCGGTCGTCTCCAGTGTGAGCATTAGACTGTTCTCTTTATCCTGTTATTACTGTTCCTTTCTGTTTGGTAAGAAACGCTTTTCAAAAAGGAATATCTTCAATATAAAGTAAATGTAAACTCCTGAGAGGGAATGGGGAGTTGAGAGTGTAATCTCTTCAGCCATCGTCTGTTGGGGTAGCAGCATCAGAAGCAGGGACCTGAAGAGGCTCAACAGCCTAATAAAAAAGGCTGGTTCTGTTCTGGGGACCACTGTGGAACCGCTGGAGGAGATAATGCAAACAAGGATTCTCCAGAGAATCAAGAAAATGATGGACAACCCTGAGCATTCTCTTCACAAGACTGTCCGACAACGGAAGAGTGTCTTCAGTCAGAGGCTTCTTCAGTTTGGCTGCAACACTGACCGCTACTGGAGATCCTTCCTGCCAACAGCCATCGTAATATACAACAACTCTTTGATGACGTGATTATTATTATTATTCTGAGCTACTACAACAATCAATTTCCCTCTGGGATTAATAAAGTATTTTCGATTTGAATTGAATCACAAGACTTTTGTACTTTTAAGTTAGAATCACGATGAATTGGACTTCTGTAAATGTCAGTGCTGTAAATAAAGAGTGATTTTAACGCCTTTTCTCCCGTTTGTTGTAATTTAAGTCAGTGTTAAATTTTTAAATAGCATCTTTTCAAACACGACTCAGCTTAAGACTTTAAAACGGACGTACGTGCACACCACTTCTGCTTCAGGACAAAATAGTTTCTCAGTTGATGATGTCATCCTTTTATTGCTGGATCACGGATTTTTAACCAAGCGTTTGGAGAACCGGGTCGGGATCATGGGGTTGGCTCATCCATCTGAGTCTGTGTTAGGATGGGGGACTCGTCATCCTCCAATGTAGGCCTAAACTAGGGGTTTCTCAGGGCTCCATCCTTGGATCTTTACTTTATTCCATCTCCATGCTGCCCCCGAGGACTATTTTTAGAAGACACATTATGTGTCATCTCTATGCTGATGATTACCAGATCTATATACCTCTACTATTGGTGGCAGAGTTCAACATCTAATAGATAATTTCTGTGTCATAATAAATCTTAATGTTCATGAGAGCGAGATGAAGGTTATGACCTTAAGTCTGGGCAACCAACGCAGTACGGCTGAGGGAAGTGACCTCATGCCTCTGGCCCCTTTAGAGAAGGATGCTGAGATGAATCTGAGGGTAAAGCTAGATGCAGCTCTGCCTACTTGGACCAAAGTGTTCTTATAGAAGATGAGTAGCTGTCTTAAATGAGATGTTGCTCGGACTGGACTGACTTTTGCCTTCTATTAAGCGTCGCTACAGAGACGATGAATCTTCATGGATGTAGCACCTGCTGAAGGAGCCTCTCAGGACTCCAGAGGCAGCTTGGTGTTCATGGTGATGTTTTAGATATAAAACGGCACTACTGTAATCAGTTCTACAGTTAATAAATACAAGGACCAGTTTTTCTGCATCACTAGAAACAATTATTCTCATTTCTCTCTTCACGCTGACACGGCCTGAGTTGAGACGTGGCAGACAGCAGCAGGCTGGAGCTCATTACACAAATCCCTGTCGATACACAAGTGACACGCCAGAGGAATAGAGATGTGCTCCAGGTCTGGATTCCTGGCGAGTACACTCAGAGGGACCTCTGCTTTCAGAGGCGACAGCTTGATTGACGATGATGGAAGTGGAGCTGATTTGACAGCTAACAACAAAATGAGGCGTAAATCCTTTTTATTTCCTGGATGACTTGGAAGCCTCTGAATCTGTCTTGGTGTCACTCGGCCTGTAAAAAGCAGCACGCCGAGCTCGGCTGTCACCAGTAACTCTTGTGATGGAGAGCTGTGAGCTTGCTGATGAGCACTTCGTTTTTTCTGACAGATTTATTTACTTGCAGCTGAGCGAGCTCGATTTTGCATCTTCGTGACACAAACAAGTCGTTTGCCTTCTATAGCTGCCAGATTCTTGAGGTGCTTTCCCCCTTTTTTCACTGCCGGTGTAATTTCAGTGATTTTCACTAGGGATGTCACGATCCGATCTCATGATCGGAAATCGGCCCGATCACGTGGTTTCAGACTGATCTGGGGCTCGGGCTTTACTTCCCGATCCAAGCCCCGATCCGGATACTGGGTTCAAATTACAGGAGAGCAACTTGGTTCTCCTAAAGGTCGTCAGGCTCCCCTGTTGCCCTCAACTTACACACCCAGAAGGAGCACAAAAGAGATCCAGTTTCTACCTTTATTATATTATTTATATGGACTCAGCGTGGTTCTTTTGAGCAGAGCTGCAGAGCGGCAGGCAGACCGCTGATTATTCATGAACCCCAGCTGCGTTCTGCACACGGCCGCAGTCACATTTTCTATGTTTCCAAGGTGGCGTCACCAAAAAATATATAATTAACACAGAATCATTCAAGTCCGTTCATGTTCTCTCTGGTAAGTTCTGTCTGTATTTGAGCATGACGTGTGGACGCGCTCGCGCTGCAGCGCTCGTCGCTGGCGCAGTGCGGCGCACGCTCCGCTTTGATTGCGGTCAATAGATCGATTTGACCTGCTAGTTAAAAAGTAACTTGAGGTGAAAAAGAAGGAGGCAGGCAGGCGTTTTTCTGGAGGACTGGGAGATGCAGGAAGATCAGAGACAGGCAGGACAAGAAGAGAGGAAAATAAAAAACAAAGTTCTTAAAAAAATAAAATGTAGGTAGATTTATTTATCCCACTACACGTTTGTACCTGTATAAAGCAATCATGTATTATTTATATAGCTGACACAATTCAGTTCATCTTCAAAACTCCTTCCCATGCCCAGGGGCGTATCTAAGCATTTTGGGGGCCGAGGCGAAGTAGACCCCTTCCAGGTATTTTAAGTTGAAATGCTATCTGTTTTTATATTAGACTTTTTATATTTGTAATAAAGTCCAAAAGTGAAGAATTTCTGTTATTTATTATTGATTGTCCAAGCTACCACGCAGAAGTGATCTGTTGTTAAAAAATGTAATAAAAAGGTAATTAAATAAAAAATAAGGAACATTCTGGAACTGTTTGTTCCTTTTCTTGTTTTTTATGTATCAAAAGTATCGGATCGGGACTCGGTATCGGCAGATTCTCAAAATCAACTGACTCGTACTCGACGGCAAAAAAACCTGATTGAGACATCCCTAATTTTCACTTTGCTCTGAGCTACGAGACGTTCTGTCGGCACGATTTCCTCCTGCCATCAAAACCGACTTTAGTTTAGTAGGAAACAATCCTTTTCTTTTTGCCTCGTCCCTCTTTGCTTAACAAATATTCCCAAATGCGGTCACTGCTGTCTTTGTTTGGCACGCTTACCTCGTACCAAGATTGGATCTTTTTACTTTCAGGTGCAATAAAAAATAATTCTATAGTAAAAAAAAAATCACAGAATGATCTACTGTCGGCCATGCTGGAAGGAAGCGTACACCGAAGCAGGTTTCCCTTCAGACGGATCGGGGGT